GACCTGGATCTACAGCCTCAGACCTGGATCTACAGCCTCAGTCCTGGATCTACAGCCTCAGACCTGGATCTACAGCCTCAGTCCTGGATCTACAGCCTCAGTCCAGCCTCAGTCCTGGATCTACAGCCTCAGACCTGGATCTACAGCCTCAGTCCTGGATCTACAGCCTCAGTCCTGGATCTACAGCCTCAGTCCTGGATCTACAGCCTCAGTCCAGCCTCAGTTCTGGATCTACAGCCTCAGTCCTGGATCTACAGCCTCAGTCCTGGATCTACAGCCTCAGACCTGGATCTACAGCCTCAGTCCAGCCTCAGTCCTGGATCTACAGCCTCAGACCTGGATCTACAGCCTCAGTCCTGGATCTACAGCCTCAGTCCTGGATCTACAGCCTCAGACCTGGATCTACAGCCTCAGACCTGGATCTACAGCCTCAGTCCAGCCTCAGTCCTGGATCTACAGCCTCAGTCCAGCCTCAGTCCTGGATCTACAGCCTCAGATCTGGATCTACAGCCTCAGTCCAGCCTCAGTCCTGGAAATACAGCCTCAGTCCAGCCTCAGTCCTGGATCTACAGCCTCAGTCCAGCCTCAGTCCTGGATCTACAGCCTCAGTCCTGGATCTACAGCCTCAGTCCAGCCTCAGTCCTGGATCTACAGCCTCAGTCCTGGATCTACAGCCTCAGACCTGGATCTACAGCCTCAGTCCAGCCTCAGTCCTGGATCTACAGCCTCAGACCTGGATCTACAGCCTCAGACCTGGATCTACAGCCTCAGTCCTGGATCTACAGCCTCAGACCTGGATCTACAGCCTCAGTCCTGGATCTACAGCCTCAGTCCAGCCTCAGTCCTGGATCTACAGCCTCAGACCTGGATCTACAGCCTCAGTCCTGGATCTACAGCCTCAGTCCTGGATCTACAGCCTCAGTCCTGGATCTACAGCCTCAGTCCAGCCTCAGTTCTGGATCTACAGCCTCAGTCCTGGATCTACAGCCTCAGTCCTGGATCTACAGCCTCAGACCTGGATCTACAGCCTCAGTCCAGCCTCAGTCCTGGATCTACAGCCTCAGACCTGGATCTACAGCCTCAGTCCTGGATCTACAGCCTCAGACCTGGATCTACAGCCTCAGTCCTGGATCTACAGCCTCAGTCCAGCCTCAGTCCTGGATCTACAGCCTCAGACCTGGATCTACAGCCTCAGTCCTGGATCTACAGCCTCAGTCCTGGATCTACAGCCTCAGTCCTGGATCTACAGCCTCAGACCTGGATCTACAGCCTCAGTCCAGCCTCAGTCCTGGATCTACAGCCTCAGTCCTGGATCTACAGCCTCAGTCCTGGATCTACAGCCTCAGTCCTGGATCTACAGCCTCAGTCCTGGATCTACAGCCTGTCCGTCTGTGGGAACTGATCCCTCTCTCGATGTGGGCCTGCCTGACTTTTCCCCCACTGTGTTATTTCATGTGTTTAGATGTTCTTTGTGACTTGATCTTCTCTGAGCACTGCCTCAAAGTCCAGAGCCAGTGTTTATTAAATCTATTATAACTAAAGATGAAGATAAACAAGTCATATGATAGAGTTTGGTGCAACAACAAGATAATGCTCATGACAAACTGCATTAACTCCTGAGAACTTTAAAGTGATATACTCAATTATCTTTTATTAAATTAAGCATTTAGTGGCACCGCTCGTGAGTTTGCATATAATTGTTGTGTTCGTTGTTTTAGTAAGTTGAGAATATTTTGATGTGATATTTTTGTCTCCATAGTTGTTCTTTATTAGTCCACGGGCGAAAGTCGGAAAGTTAGAATATTGTTCAAAAGTCCAATTCAATTCTGATATAGACAAAGTCAGAAATATCAAGCCTGTATTTGTTATAATGTTGATAAATATGGGTCACAGCTTGAAGAAATCTCATTAAAAAAAACATGTCAGGAAATTAAAATGTTCTGAAAATGGACTAAAGCCATAATCATGAAACAAAGGCATGTGATATTTTGTATCGAATTAGTCTAAATCATAAACTGGTTTCACATTTTAAGTTGTTTTTCTGAATTAGATTCACTTTTGAACAATTTTCTGAGTTCCGTCTGTTAATGTGGCGACATGCTCTTCTTTACTTTGGGCTCCTCCTTTTGTAATCTATACTTTTTTCAAACCTTACAATAGACAGTGCTACAGTAACATCTGCTCGTTTTAGTGACGCCTTGGCACTAACTCTGGTCCTAGCCTTGGCCTTAACTCTGGTCCTAGCCTTGGCCTTAACTCTGGTCCTAGCCTTGGCCTTAACTCTGGTCCTAGCCTTGGCCTTAACTCTGGTCCTAGCCTTGGCCCTAACTCTGGTCCTAGCCTTGGCCTTAACTCTGGTCCTAGCCTTGGCCCTAACTCTGGTCCTAGCCTTGGCCCTAACTCTGGTCCTAGCCTTGGCTCCAACCCCGGCACTAGCCTTGGCTCTAACCCTGGCCCTCCTTGGCTCTAACCCAGCCCTAGCCTTGGCCCAAACTCTGGTCCTAGCCTTGGCCCTAACTCTGGTCCCAGCCTTGGGCCTAACCCTGGTCCTAGCCTTGGCCCTAACTCTGGTCCCAGCCTTGGGCCTAACCCTGGTCCTAGCCTGGGTCCTAGCCTTGGCCCTAACCCTGCCCCTCCTTGGCTCCGACCCCGCCACTAGCCTTGGCCCTAACCCTGGCCCTCCTTGGCACTAGCCTTGGCCCTAACCCTGGCCCTAACCTTGGCTCCGACCCCGGCACTAGCCTTGGCCCTAACCCTGGTCATAGCCTGGGTCCTAGCCTTGGCCCTAACCCTGCCCCTCCTTGGCCCTAACCCTGGCCCTAACCTTGGCTCCGACCCCGGCACTAGCCTTGGCTCTAACCCTGGCCCTCCTTGGCACTAGCCTTGGCCCTAACCCTGGCCCTAACCTTGGCTCCGACCCCGGCACTAGCCTTGGCCCTAACCCTGGTCATAGCCTGGGTCCTAGCCTTGGCCCTAACCCTGCCCCTCCTTGGCCCTAACCCTGGCCCTAACCTTGGCTCCGACCCCGGCACTAGCCTTGGCTCTAACCCTGGCCCTCCTTGGCACTAGCCTTGGCCCTAACCCTGGCCCTAACCTTGGCTCCGACCCCGGCACTAGCCTTGGCCCTAACCCTGGTCATAGCCTGGGTCCTAGCCTTGGCCCTAACCCTGCCCCTCCTTGGCCCTAACCCTGGCCCTAACCTTGGCTCCGACCCCGGCACTAGCCTTGGCCCTAACCCTGGCCCTCCTTGGCCCTAGCCTTGGCCCTGACCCTATCCCTGATTTGTGAACAGGACGAGGGCCGTTGTGAAGAAGCGAAGCCACGCGGGAGCACATACTAAGTTGCTTTTATTAATACAGAACTGCATGCTACAGAGACTGTACAGCATAAACATTTATTCATTACAAAAACATGGTTTTGTGAACCATTTTAAAATAACAGGAAAAACAAACAAACAGAAAAGATAAGAGCATAAAATAGAACAGGAACATCACAGCCGTTAAGGAAACATTCAAACTATTTATCATTAGCATCTTAATAAACCAGAGAAGAAATGGACAGCTTACAGTCGTCATGACAACTACGATGGCACCGAGTGGATGAGTCTCTTGTAGCTTTTTTACAGCCTCTTGCAACATCAACATGCCTATTTTTTCTATCTACCTATATGTAGTAGGGTACTTAAAAGTGGCAGTTTGTGTATTTTTTTGTATTTAATAGTTTTTTTATGAACCTCCTAATATACATAATTTGGCCCGCGTGGGTTTTTATACAGTATGATGTCCGTCTTTTTAAGTTTAAATTTTAATATTTGACAATTTGCTACCAAACACATTTGTTATAGCAACATTTATACTACATACATAGCGATCTATGTAACGTCACAGCAAAGAATGGGATCTAAATTAAAATAAACGGCAATGAAATGAACAGAAATGTCCCTACAGCGTTGTTAGAGGGGCCGAGGAAATTATCACAAAAAGTTTGGCACGCAAAATCTGTACACAAATCTACAGTCTGGGAGATGGGACTGTGCAATAAAAAAGAAGGGCGTTTTTCCAACCACTGAAGTACCCACTGTCGGCTTCAACGTTAGTCTTTTCTTCTTTTGTAAAATGGCTTATAGACGCATCTGTTAAAATGAGCTTGTGCATACGTTTGTTTGAGACCTGCCCAGGAACTGAGCGGAGTCCAGGTTTCAGCGCGGAAAAGAAATTCATAATAATAACAAAACTTTTTTTTAGTGTTTTTCATAGCCTCCTTGTAAAAATGGATCATTCATATATATAAGTCGCTTAACCTTAAGAAAAAAATATTTGTACAATGTATTATTAAACAAAATTCAAAAAGAGACACGTACAAGGTACAACAAGCAATCTCTAAAGCAATAAATACTACTGGTCCTAGCGTTGTGACGTTTTGAGTAGCCCCCCCCCAACTTACAATTCCCACCCACTCACCTGACTCCACCCCAATAGGTAAACAACAAAGAAAAGGACAACGCAGTGGAAGAATGCATATTTAACAACAGTAACCTCCCCACACACTCCCGCCCCGTTATTCTGTACATTTGAACATGAACAAGAAACATCACAACATTGTTCGTGCCCACAGCCTGAGCCCGTCACATCAGTCCGTGTCAGGGATTGGTTCGCAAGCTCGTATTTAATACAAATAAAGAAGGAGAACCAATTCTTCTGAGAAAGGGCTTGCTTAGTATCCTAGCCAACCTTTATATCCTTTAGAAGTGGAACTAAATAAACTTTTCTGTTTGCACTGTTTTAACACTACATAAAAGACATCAAACAAAAATTCATAAACATTTTGGCAGATTCACAAAGTTAAACTACAGCTCATCGTAATCTTATAATAATTAAACTTTTTGATAATGATGGGTCAAATATTGACCAATGAACTTTAATAAAACAAAACTCAAATTCCAACGCCTCAATGGCACAGAAAAGAAACACACGAAGCTGAAAGACAGATCTAAAAAAGGACTATTCTACAGACTTGGCCACTAGCGACAGAGGCTGCGAGGCCGCGGAGGAGAGCAGCGAGCGGGAATGACAGAGCAAAGCTGCGGCGCGTCCCATGGAGGACCCTGGCGGACCCCGCGAGGACGGGACATCGCCGTGTTCCAGGGACCCATTGTGGCTCGAGGGGCCGGGCGTTTTTCGGACCGCCGGCGCTGCGGAGGAAGAGTTGTTGTTGTCTAGAAGCAAAGGTGGCGGGCCGGACAGGAGGTGCGCCGGGTGGTGGTGGAGGTGGAGAGGCTGGTGGGCCGGTTTCATAGTCAGTGAGAGAGGTTGCATTTGTTCAGTCTGAGGTTTGGATTCTTTAGGCGAAGGAGAGTGGATGAGCGAGGAGGGAGAGGGAGGGGGGGAGTCGAGTGAGCTTCCGTCCGAAGAAGGAGGACTGGCACAGCTGCCTTCACCTTGGATGTAACGAATGCACTTTTTTTTTCTCCTGAGGGATAAGGCCAGAGAGAGAGAGAGAAGTTGTTTAGTTACAATGGATTTTGTTGCTTCTCAAAAACCTCAATGCATCTGCACTTGACAAAGATCCCCTCTGGTCAGACAAGACACCAACAACTAACTACATTCTTTCTGTACACTCAGACACTTCAACACTGCTATGTGTAGTAATACTTATCATTAAACATTACTGAATATTCAGAGGGGAACTGAAGCAAATGACAGGTGCATTAAGGCATTTACAAATACAATGCTTTACATTCTCATGCCAAAGAAAGATGATTGAAATGTAATATATCCAAAATCACCAGACAGGACAGACATGAAGTAACGAACCACAGGTTTAGCACCAGGACAAGGAACAGCAGAGAAACAATGGAGCCAAAGACAAAGAGACAGATCCAACAAGATGGCTGTATTTCATTTAATGTTTTTTACTTTCTTTTGGGCTGTCGGAATATTGTTTTATTTGACTGATTTATTGTAATATTTAGTATGTAATATTTATTGTTTGACTTTTTTATTTTTTATTTACGATGTTTGTTTTTGTGGTTTATAAGTACACTAGAATGTATATATACTGTATGGTCATTGAGGGTTAAGGAGTCGTGAAACATGACATTGTGGCAAAAACTACAACGGGCAGAGGATAGAGCCCTGGGGCGCACCTTCAGCACTAAAAATGGTTTTGAAGTTTGAAGTATGATGACGAATACAATCCAGGCCAATCATCATAATCACACATTGTCTTGATATCGGAGAGCAGCCGTTGCAGCAGCTCTGTCTTCTCCCGCTCGGCTCCTGAGGCGGCCAACTTCTCACAAAGTCGAGGCGATCCCGGCTAACCCTGCGCTTTGCCCCACAGACACCAGTGTGGGTCAAGGCGTCATGTCTGCACTCCTGCCTGAGGTCGGGACCCCTCCCCCCACCGCAGCCGAGTCCCGGGGCCCTGGTGGGAGTGGGTGAGACCGGCGCATGTGGAGCATATGCAGTCTGTGATGTGGGGGGACTTCTGAGTTTGGTTCAGGGGGGATTTTCTGCCCACCTCATCTTCTGACCCTGGCACTGACCTCACTCTCTGCTGTGTATTTTATCACACGGATGCCTCAAGGATATGCTTGCTTTCTCAAACTTAGAGGGACAAAGTAGCGTGCTATATTTTATTTAAAGATGCGTTGGAATTCTAGCTGGATATGGTATAAATATTTTTCTGTTCAGGTTTGGACGATTGACAGTGCAGGAATAAGAGACAGCAGAGAAAACATGTCAGTATTGTATATATTGTATATTAAAATATAAAAGTTAGGTTTTTCTCACAATATTATCTCATTATTATTTTCAGATTATTACTTTAATTTTATTTTTATTTACATTTTATAAGGCAAAGCCCATTGCACAAAATGAATGTAACAACCAGTATTTGTCTGAAGTTTCTATATTGTTTGATTATTTTTAACCATATTTTTGGGCAAAGATCAGAGCTTTTATCGTATAGAAAATATTGCAGGTATAAAATTGTGTTAAGTAGCAGCAGGTTCAAAAAGGTTAAAAACAACATCTAAATCTACAGGTTCTGTCGCTTCTGGGTGGGACTAGCATCGACCGGAGCGAAGTGCAACCGTTCTGCCTCTACATAGACATCACGCTCCCCATAACTGTCGGTCAAAGTGCTACAAATGAGCTAATATCCATTTTTTAACAGACATATCGATTCATCGTATGTGCCTGTGTTTCTTATTGATTTCTCGGCTCTCGCGGGAAATTACAGCCGATGCATCTTTTAAGGAGACGGAGCCCAGAGAGAACTTTTAACCTCTCGGCTCCTACAGCAAGGCGCCCGGGTACAGAGGTGCGGGCGCCATGTATTACTCAGGAAACACGTGAGAGGGAGTTGTGTTTGGGCCAATCAGAGAGGAGCAATAACATGAGATATCCAGGCTCGTACTCAATAGTTGGGCTGCAACAAGGGAATTGATCATTGAAGAAGTTGTCCAGTTGTTTGTTGAACCTGGATCAAAACAGGCCAAGAAGTGGTTTTATCACTCCGACAGAGAAATAATTACTACGGGATGATTTTATTAATTTCTATCCAAACAACCAAATATGTCACATCTAGTCTCTGAGAAATTGCTTTAAGTTTGTTTTGGTCAAATTGATAAAAGAAATCCTTTAAATTGACTTTTTGAGATCAATCTTTAAAATTCAACCGTATTTTATATTGAACCCTGACCCTGGAGAATCTTCTATACTAATCAGTTATCGTTAATTACAGTCATAGTGAATAAATTAATCATATCTTGTTATGTGTGGAAGTAAAAAAAAAATATATATAATTCTTGCATCTAGATGTATTGTGGCCTGTAATCCAATGCAGATTATATAATTCACTATTTACGTATATGATCATTGAGAATGGATCGTGCGCTTTGATTCCTAAGATAGTTTTATATTCAGAATTGTACGTTGATAAAAGATGTGAAACGTTGACGATGGATGTCGATGTTGGGAAAAAAAAAGGTGACTGAAGCCAAGACACAGAGAAGGGAGTATTACTGAGCAGAAACAAATACCTACCATGAAAATATTCCCAATTCAAAGACTGCTTGTGTCAGAACAGAAAGACAACAGGTAGGGACTAAGTAAGGGTTATTGAAGAGGAAGAGGAGGGAGAGGAGGAGGAAGAGGGCACAGAAAAGAGTGTCACTCAAAAGGCCCTCAGAGGAAACAGGCCGAAATTTGTCATCATCACATTTATCAAGGCGCCAATTCAGAACAAACAGACAGAGAGGAAGGGGAGGACTAACCCACTGCCCTGGGAGAAAATGGATTCCAATACGGAGAAAGAAACAGTTAAAACAACAGCATTCGGTCTTGAAAACTTCTACAAGCGAAATCCATTTTCTGCCACTGGGCTTGAACCAAATGTAAAATTTATAGCCGGATATTTCAGAGTGAGGAAAAGGAGTCTGCCATCTGTTACCACATGGCTGGAAACAAGTTTTAGAGCGATATCTGAGCAATCAAGAGGAAGGGTCTGAGACAGAGTGGAAGTCCTCCTCCCGCTGGTACAGCAGTAATACCTGCATGGCTTGCACCATAAACTCAGCTGGTCAAGCCCGAACAAGGCACGACACTTCTTTGGGGTATTTGCATCTGTTAGCCAACGAGGTACACAAACACAGAGACACAAAACAAAAACAAAAAGGAAAAAAGGAAACAAAATGGACACGTCATTGCACAGACAAAAACATTGAGCCAGGACTTAGGCTTTGGCTGGACACACTGGGATATTCTTCTACTGTTTTACCAAGCTACCACCGCTCACATCCGCCTGGGGCCTTCACCTGCGGCTCTTATTTGCATTCACACAACAGCATATGTACGCACACTGCTAAAGAAACCCGCTTCCCGATACGGATATAGGACCGCCAGGATCCGGCTGGAGGGACCAGTGAGGCGGCGATAGCTTGGCTCGACGAAAACAGACGGAAGCAAGAATCACCAAAGGGAACGGGAAAATAAAAAGACACCAGAAGCACAGAGGCACAGCCCAGAGAGAACAGCCCAGCGTTTGTCTTTTTTTTTTTGATTTTTTTGTTTCTTTTTGGAGAGGAACCCAGCCTCGACCCGGTCCTGGCCTGTGCAAACACCATACACACCTGCAGGGGCCACACCAGTTATTCTGCTGGTCGAGACCAAAGCGCGCTCGACACTTCTTAGGAGCGCTCAGGTCTATTGCGGCGGCGACAGTGGGAGGGAAGCCAGCGCAGAGGAAGGATAGAAACCCAAACAATGATTCAAAACAATAGGAGAAAATGAGAAGAGAAAACAAAGTGAATCTACAGTATGAAGGCTGGCAGTAATAACAAAAAAAACATGTCAAAGCATTTATTTAGTCAGACCAAAATGCATGCAGATAACAATCTATATAGAGGGAACACAGCTGCTCGCGGTCGTGTTCTCTAAGATTAGGTTTGCCTGGGATTTCACAAAGGCAGAGTGTGAGTGGGACTAGTGCTAGCGGGTTGCGAAAAAAAATGCTTGGTTTGTGAGTTAGCTGTAGCCAAAGGAAATATTATTATTATTATTATTATTAAAGGCAGGAACCTCAAAGCGGGACTATGCCTTTAAGACCTGGCATCAAACACTCCCAGCGGCAGAAATGGTGCCACATAAAAGTCGCTAATCGGTGTTTGAGTCCAGGCCGACCTCACGCTGGCCCGTGGGAAAAGGCACAAGCATTGATCAGGTAGTCGATTAAGGAGGTTTACTCTGATATTTTTGTTTGTTAACACGACGTAAACTGTATTTCCGAACACTAGCAACATTAACCAGCAGCAGTTTAAAAAAAAAAAGGAAAGCAGTGATCCAAGCATGTATCCATATGGGAACAGTTTTTTAGCAG